CATAGATGCCCATAAACCGCGCTAAAATCACGACGGCGAGTGTGGTGTCACACCAGCTCGGGACTTATCATACCATCACTGTAGGCCATTAAGTCCCGAGCTGGTGTATGATGCTGTACTCCCTTGTTGGCCAGAAATTCTGAATGCATCTCGTTTTGTTCCGTCTTGTTCTTGCTCGAGTGTAAATCAGTTACTGTGGCTGAATTCAAATATTCTACTCCATCAGAAGCATTGACACAAGTTCTCCTGTAATAGACGCCAACGACGGGCGGTGGATGAGCGAGTGACTTACAGTACTCCATTGCGTAAAGTGCAACTGTATTACTGTTGATTGTGTACCTAAATAACCTCCACGATGTTCCACCAACCGCAGGGAAGAGTCGATAGAAACGCGTTCTGACATAGTTCCCTCGACGTGTATCATTTCCCTGACGCCATAGCTGTCGGTTAGGAACAAATCGCCAAATGAAAACCCAAATATTAAACTCTTCCCTCTCATCAAGATCAGTTGGGAACCGTATGTGTTGGTCAAGGGGAGAGGCATTCAGAACGTTTAGATGTTGTAGATTGGATATTCCAGTGATACCGAGTGCCGGGTTTCTTAAATGGTTGACGAGTTTTGGAATAACAAGCTTATCCAACTGTATAAACGAACGAACATTGGCCATGTTATGTGGTCGTTGAATGGTCCTTTCTGCAAGGGCAAAGTCCATGTGTGGTATGCAGCAATACCGAGAACCATCTGCGTGGACACGCATACAGTCCCATAACGCGCATTGCTTATCATCATGCAAAGTAAGGGTAACACTATTAACAGGATCAGCAACCTCTTCCATATTCTGTAGTGCAAAGACCTGCCAATCCATAGTAATGTCAGACTTGAACAAGAAACTTATAACATTTGTTTATCTAATTGATCGCTAACAAAAAATCAAAGCATACTTCACAATCATCAAAAAAACATATTCAAAATCCAATCAAATCAAGCAAAGAAACTACACAAAAACAGATTCAAATTCCAATCGTAAACAAGAAGTAAACACTTTCGCTAAATTTCACTTCTACGAATCGAGTAAACACAAAATCCAGAAAGTTATTGGTTCCACATACCGACGAATCTCTGAACACGAACGAAGCCGGTACAAAAGGCGACGACGGCTTCACCACCGGAGATTAGGCTCTAAGCGTCGAAGATGGAGGTAGAAATGGCGGAATCGAAGGATTAAACGGCGGAATCGAAGGAGAGATTCTTGTATTTAAGTGATGATCGACGATCAATGGTATCAGAAGAGAGAAGACAAGAGAGAGACGAGAAAGATAAAACAAAAAAAGAAAAAAAAAAACAAATCTTCTTATTTTCTTGGACGCACCAATCGCTGTGCGACACGTGTCGAAACTCCTCTATTTCCCAGTCAATGTTTCTAGTCTAGCGATGTGGGATTATTACCACGTTCACACATCCTGCCGTTTGAAGCTACTGGTTTCCAACAACGTGCTGGTCTCTTACACATGAGTTTATGTGTTATACTTATACACATGGAAGAAGATGAGTATGAACCCAAAGTTATTCAAAAGCTCCAAAAGCCAAATTTCATAAACTTTCTTTCCGTAACTTTTTTTCTTTTTTTAATTTGGATTTCTTCAGATTGGAATTGTGTGGAATGAGTTTTGAACGCAAGATTTGTCTTCTATAAGAATGTTATAACCCTTCAAGTGTAATTACGAAAACTTAATAATGATAACAATATCCAAGGAAACAAAATTTCTCTTCCAAGTTTAGAGAATGTGAAGTCTAAGAGATCCGAAGAACACTAAGAGATGGTAACAAAAGAGACCGAGAAACTTACATCGACTCTTGAACGATTTCCTCAGTGACATCAATAAGATCCTCAAACTCAACTTCTTTGGCTTCATACTCATCTTCTTCCACATCACTAACTTCACCATCCCGAAGATTTTTTCTCGCGAGTTTCTCCTCTTCATGCAGAGACTTCCACTGCATCACCCATTTCTCCCATTCTTCCTTCAATGCCCTCCTCTTCTCTCTGTCTTGTTCACTCAACAGCAACGATACGTCCTGATCCTCTGCCTCATACTTCTTGCTGTACTTCTTCAGGTTCTTTGCTATCTCTTCTTCCTTCTCTGCAGTTAAGAATGATGGCGGTCTTGGACGCCAAGCCAACTGTGTAACCAACCATACATAAATATTTTATTAGACATCGTAACGGATGATGTTAGTTTGAGACCGAGTTTTGTTACATACCTGGAAGAAATGATCCTTCAGTATCCGGTAAACCAAATTCCCGTTGAAAGACCACATGGTGAACCCATTCTCCATCTCGTGAACTGATGTCACTGCGGTTGCAACGTACCTTTGAAAAGAAAAAAGTGCAAACAACATCACAAATTGGAAGAAAGAGAAACCAACCAATGGACTTGTTTAGTTTTAAGAAGACACTAGTACCTTCCAGTTGGGTCCCATTCGATATCCGTGGCCATGAAGTGTTCAGATGTTGCCATTGTCTCGAGCTCATCCACGTTGAAAAATTCAAGCTGGCCATTGAAACCTTTTAACCCAGCAAGAATGATGTACTTTCCTGTGGGCGACCAGAAGAGGGCATTGGCTTGTTTGGCCTTCAACGTTGCGAGCTTTGAAACCCTTCCAGTATTTTGTGCGGTCTTCATCGAGTAGAAACTGACATCTGGTCTTGGTTGGTCACCATGAATCACAGCAAACCTGTGACCCTTGGGCTCCCAAGCGAAAGCAATGATCTTGTCGTTCTTGTTATCCAGCTCAAGAACCTCGATGGGAATATCCCTTTCTTTGATACGGAAAAGCTCAAATCCAGAGTATGTGCTCTTCTTAGTTTTTGTGTATCGATCAACCTTAACAGCAAGATACTCTCCACTACTCTGCCAGTACATCTTGCAGTCGCTCACACTGAAGAGATTCTTCTGCCTCAGCTCCACCTTGCTCGGGATTTGGACTAGAGCAACCTGAAGAAAGGGATAACAACATGTAACTACAAAACAACTCGCAGAGAAACCGAAGCGTATTGAGGTTTCAGGGCTTTTCATTTACATAAGATAAAAAAAAAATACCTTAGCAGGTTGGTTTCCACCACCTTGTTCAGGAACAAACAATGAAAGGATGGAATCAGTGGGAGACCAGCAAATATCAACAACCCTTCATGGATGTCTTGTCTATTAGGCTGAAAGTCTCAGTCTCATAGACAGAGATGGTGTTTTTGCTAAGCTTGGCAAAGTATCTATCATCTTTTCCACCAGCCCATCTACAGAAACGTTTTACAAGATATCAACAAATGTGCATAATAGTGGACCAGAGGATAGATTTTGACTGTTTATTTTGAGGACATTGACATGCAGTTGAAGAAATTACCTGAAAACAGGCCAAGAGGCGCCAGCAACACCACCAGGTCCTCCAATTGAAAACTCATCAGCACTACCCTTGAAATCTCTCATCATCCTCCCGGTTCTCACATCAAAGACCTTAATCTCTACTTTCTGTAATTTTGACAGCAATCAGAATCCTTTGCATAGAAATGATATACAAATAAAAGTTGGAAAGAACAGAGTCAAAAATGAACTCACACTTGCATCTCTCGGATTGCTTGGTTCTTGGCTATGGTAAGTTACAAGATATCTCTCACCTGGCGAGAAATCAACAAGTTTGACCTAAAACAGAATCAACAAAAGGTGTCAATTTTCAGGCCAACAGAGGAAAAACGGAAGTACTATGTAGCAATTAAAAGGAAATTCAAACCATAGAATGCTGATAACGCATGAGACGCGTGAATGTATCAGTACCACCCCAAACAGCTGCCCCCTGCTTGTGAAGTGTCACAAGGTATGTACCTAAAGGAGACCACTGCACATAACTCTCTGCCACAACTGCATAGGAAGAGAACATCATTAATTCAGATGATGGTAACTTAACATATAACATTGCTCTAAACAGTCAAGTAACAAATAAGAGATATACACAGGAAGATGTAAGAAACTTACAGGACGCTTATGAACAGGTTCAGGCTTCTTCTGCCTTGCATCATTCCAGTAAACTTCAGTATCAGGGCCAGAACGAATGACTAGCTAGTCCCGTGCTTTGTCATCAGTAAGCCACTTCTGCAAATTTTCCTGAAAAAGAAACACCATATAAGTAACGAACAATCACCTAAAAAGGCTGCATTCAATAAAGTAATAAACATGCAATAAGAGTATTGCAATTATAATTATTGGTTAGTATACATCAAATGCGTAAAACAGATCCTAGCACTAATTCAGCCAGCAAACACATGAATTCACTGAATCAATCAGAGAATAACCAAAACAAAGAAGTGATTGCACAGACTCAGTGGAAGTTATCCAAAAGACAATATTTCAAAGTACACGTACCCCAGGGACATAGGTCCTGAACTTAAACGTACCAAGTTCTACATCCAAATACAAGCAATCTTTCTTTGTACCCTCATGAACTCTACTGGCCAATTCAATGGTGTGTCTTAGACTCTTAGTAGTCTTGTAGTGGGTCCATTGCCACGTCCAAGAACTTCTGTTCCATTTCCTCCATATGCTCACATGACAGTTAAATGACAATGACTTTAGTGATTTACGAAAGCATATTCTGGTTGAACCAAGTAAATCAAAACTAAGCAATGAACGATTAGCTTGTAATTTTTTGAGTAGCAGTCTCCTCTGTTTTGTCGTGCTGGCTTACTGAAGCTCAACCACTTGTTTGGAGCTCAAACATAGAACCATCAGATGGCCACGACGGTCTTTTGGGAAAACTGAAGAAACGAATTAAACCTGAGAATGCAGAAAGAGTAAGTATTGGGAAATACTAACCAGGCAAGCAGCAAGCAAATAAATATGGCAAAGATAATAATAAAACTATCCTGAATAAAAATATGGAAAGCCTGTTGCTGAAGGCAGCTTGGAAAAAAATTACATCATTTGCTAGACGATAACATATCTGGACTGTTTTCTTCTTCGTTACGCAATCCAACTTTATTATGTAGCGTCGATGTATCCTCAAAGAAGATCAACTAATTGAGGCAAGTGAAAGTAGTAACAAGTAGTAAAGTGAGTTATATAATGAAAGATATTGCAGTACAAAAGAACATCATCCTTTGCACTCTCTAAGTCATATAACTACTTGCCTGATAAGTGTTCTTAATTCAAATTGGCTTCTCTATAGAGATTATGTTGTTGTTGATCTTTTCCATAAGATTTTCCACACGCTTAATGGCTGCATTCACATACTCTAGTGACATGTCCAACTCAAACCTGAAACCATATCGGTTAGTTAATAGATCACATAGAAGTGGAATTTTTATGGGAATTATATTGTCAGCAAAAGATAAACCCACCATATTATCCACATAAGTTTCACACAACTTAGTGAAATTAGAAGGGAAGACTGAACCGAATAGGAAACAATCATGAACTCACCAATGTAATAGAAAGACTCATAATCGATATATAGAAACAAATACCGGAACTTTATATACTACATACGTCTTACCTATCATCCTCACATCTCGAGACAAGCTTTCTTCACACTGGTTTTGGCACATGTATCTGTAGCTTGAATGGGACACTATACATGAGAAAGCACCACATATGAATATGTAGCACAAAATGCGTCACTATATTGAAAGTATGGTAGATAAAATCATTAAGGTTTGAGAGACACTCACATCTTGTGGCAGGAGATTATAGCTTCATGTACATTGTGCGTAGTCAGCAAGATCCAATCCATTTTGTAGCCTTAGTCGTATGATTTTTTTGACTTCTTATGTCTTTAACAAAAGCTGCATTGCTTCAGAACTGTATATTAGTCTAACACAAGACCTTCAAGAACTCATTAGAGAAGCTTATAGTCCTGCAAGAAAACATACCTTTTGTTGTCAAATTCTTGGAGTCCTGCAGCTTGAAATAAAAACTAGGATGATCTAGTGAGAGTTGTTATCATACCTTAATAGCTTGCCGTTTGGTTATATAGTTACCTGATTAGAGAAGCTTTGAGTGTAGTCTGCGGAAAACTACAGACCAAAAATATTTGAAATTACACTTTCTAACGCAAAAACCTTCAAAGAAGAAATCAAATTTGCTTAGGTCTACAATGTAAATTTACCTGGAGATTAGGGTCAGATTGTTTCCATCGTTACAATTTTGGGCAAAAGATTCTTTGATGAACTTAAACGTACGGAGTTCTACCTCCAAGTACAAGCAATCTTTCTCTGTACCCTCATGAACTCTACTATCAAGGGTGTGTCTTAGTAGTCTTGTATTGGGTCCATTGCCACGTCCAAGAAATTCTGTTCCACTTCTTCCATATGCTCACATGACAGTTAAATGATAATGACTTTAGTGTTTTATGAAAGCATATTCTGGTTGAACCAAGTAAATCAAAACTAACCAAGCAATGAACGATTAGCTTGTAATTCTTTGAGTAGCAGTCTCCTCTGTTTTGTCTTGCTGGCTTATTGAAGCTCAACCACTTGTTTGGAGCTCAAACACAGAACCATTAGATGGCCACGACGGTTTTTGGGAAAACTGAAGAAACAAAACAAACCTGAGAAATGTCAGAAAGAGTAAGTATTGGGAAATACTAACCAAGCAAGCAGCAAGCAAAGAAGTATGGCAACGATAACAGTAAAACTATCCTCAATAAATAGGGAAAGCCTGTTTCTGAAGGCAGCTTGGAAAAAAGTTGCATCATTTGCTAGACGATAACGTATCTGCACTGTTTTCTTCTTCATTACGCAATCCAACTTTATTATGTAGCATCACTGTATCCGCAGAGAAAATCAATTAACTGAGGCAAGTGAAAGTAGTAAAAAGAAGTAAAGTGAGTTATATAATGAAAGATATTGTAGCACAAACGAACATTATCCTCTGCACTCTCTGAGTCATTTTATCCCCCATAACTACTTGCCTGATCTTAATTCAAGTTGGCGTCTCTATAGAGATTAAGTTGTTTTTGATCATTTCCAGAAGATTTTCCACACGCCGCATTCACTCTCTAGTAACAAGTCCAACTCTAACCTGAAACCATATCCGTTAGTTAACAGATCAGATGGAAGTAGAATTTTTATGGGAATTATATTGTCAGCAAAAGATAAACCCACCATATTATCCACATAAGTTTCACACAACTTAGAAGGGAAGACTGAACTGAGTAGAAAATAATCATGAACTCACCAATGTAATTGAAAGAGTCCTAATCGAAATATAGAAAGAAATACCGTAACTTTATAGCCTTAGTCTTATGATTTTTTTTTACTTCTTATGTCTTTAACAAAAGCTGCATTGCTTCAGAACTATATACTATAAAAAACATACATGCCTCTAATCAGTTTTTTGTCAACAATTTCAATCAATAAGTCCACGGAAAGAAGAAAAAAACTGAGAATCGACCAAGAAAAAAACCTTGACAGAAAACAAACGATTGTACCAATGATCAACCAGAGATAACAAAAAAGATAATCCGATTTATAGAGAAAAATCTCCCGAAATATAACAAAAGAATCACAAAGACACTAAGTTATTTTTCTAAAGAATAACAAACAGATTAAGTTCAGGTTTATTGAAAGGTTCATATTAGGAAGATGTAAGAAACTTACATGTTAGGCTTGAACTCCTTCATCATTTGCAGTCTTTTAGCTCTACCTTAAGCTAGCTGTGATGGTTCACCATCTTGATCATAGCTACAAAAAAAAAAAAATCAAATGAAAATAAACAAAACACAAGATACAAGTTCTTATTCCTAAACCCACTAAGACATAGTCGCGAATTGAAATTTCTCTAACCTGGTCTAGAACCTAACGTTTTATGGATACTGCATATAACATATAGTCCCACAAATTCAAGGATAGATATTGTATTTCAACCTTCTTGTAACCTATCAATAACAATTTTCGGAGGTAGAAAAGATGGAGAAGACCAACCTTATAGCGAGCCTGTCAAGAAAAGTCTCCGTGTTAATGGCTTCAAGGCTTGATCAAACAGTTCTGTTGCAGATTTCTGCTTTTGATCATCTTCCAGAAGTTTCAAGGCTTTCATTTCTTTCGTGTAAGCTTCCATTAACTTGCAGCTCTCTTCCTCACCCAGTTTCTACAATAAGATATTCCAAAAACCAACAAATCAATAAGATTAATTTCTCAAGTAACAACGAATAAAATCTTGTTTCTTTACTTTTCATTTAAATGAAATATGGGTGGTAGGATGTTCTTCTTCTATATTTTTGTCGTCACTTTCGTATCTGCAGGAAACATCTGCTGTTGTTAGTAGCTGACTTAGTTCAAAATGTTTTTTCTTTGTTGTTTTTTATATCCTTCCATTTTATGTATATCTCCTTGTTCAAATATACGCACACACGTTAGAAAATATTTTTAACTTTTCATTGATTCACATCATTGATATGGGAGCATACCTTTTTGTAGAAAGTCTTTTTCTGCGTAGAAGTTCTTCCACTCTTTCCTAGTAATCTTCGCAACCTATAGTCACCATTCAATAGCTTCAATAGTTCAAATAAAAGTAAGAAAGAGACTATCATAATTGAATTTTACTTGACTTACCTCAGAAATGCTCTTGTTATCTACTCATAAAGCAGCTCTCCTCTCGTTTGCATAGATTAGGTAGGAATATATAGGCTATTTAGGCTCCAGGGGATCCTTTAGCTTTCTAAAAAACGAGAATGCATTCAGTTCAGATTTTCATCCAGCAATTTCCCCTACATTAAAAGTACATTTCTAAATGCTGACTCTAAGGACCCAAAAAACATGCTGTATAAATTTATTTGCTAAGCTAGCATCTGAGAAAATTCCATCGTAGGAGCTGAACCATATGCTGAGAAAACCACATCTCTATCATTAGGTTTATGACAATATCCTTGATTACGAAAGAAAACTTTAGATGCATCTACTGAATGCTCTTTGAGAATCCAGCAACTGAAGATTTCTTATTCTTCAATAGGCTCCAGCAATTAGGATACACCGAGGATGATCATTTAGAGCCGCAAGGTGTAGAGCAGTACTGCCATTTAAGTAATCTGATTTGTGAATCCAAAACCCGAATAATCAAGAAACACAATCATTGTCCCAACCCCTGACATATTTTTAAATCATAATCAGTCAGAAATCACAATATAAAGTTGATCAAATCCTTACATTAGCACCAAAAAGAATCAGAAACAAAACAACCTCCCAATGACCATGTTGACAAGCTTGCATCAAAGCTGTCTGTTTCCAAAAATTCATGTATTCAGATTTTACATTTAAATCAATCAATAATGCAAAGAACAAAAAGACACTAAATCACAACATACATGTCCACGGTAGTTCCGGAGATTAATATCAACTCGTGATTCCACCAACAGAGAAACTATCTGAAGATAAACAAAACCCAAATCAGGATCATCACCAATCATCACAATCATCTTAAAAGTCAGAACTTTAGAATCTCTGATCTTATGAAGTATTGATCTTTCAAGTAATTATACCTTGTTAGGCTTGAATTCCTTCAGCTTTTGCAGTTTTTTGTGCTCCACCTTAAGCGCTCCAGTTTTTTCTCCTTCATGTAAACATATGGGTTGTTTGGGCTTAGAAGATCATTTAGCTTCCTATTAGACGACAATGCAGTCAGTTTTCTCACTTATTATTGCAATCACAAAAAGTTCTCGAGGGAGACAATGGTATGTAGTTCAGTATTGCTTGTTGTCTCAAGTTTTTCCTCTTTATCGTAAAGGTGTTCTCCACTCGTTTAAATAGGTTAGGTAGGAAGATTTGGCTTCTTAGGCTTACGGATCCTTTAGCTTCCTACAAACAAGAGAATGCAGTCATGTTTCTTAATTATAATCACAATCAAAAAGGTTTTAGAGTGAAATAGTGGGATGTAGTTCAGTTTTACTTGTTGTTGTCCTGTTCAGCTTCCATCTCTAAGTACCACTCATTGCAGCTTTTTTATTTTGCTTATCTTCTAGAAATTTCATGGCTTTCCTCCATCGGTTCTTCTGTACAACAACAAAGAGATAGGCTTCCTTAATCTTCAATAAGATTCTTCCATTAAATACCAAGTTGGATATATTACTCATCTTTTCTGAGCTTGAACGTGATTCTTGTTTCTCCAAGTTCAAAGAAGCTGATTTTAAGGTTTTCGTCAATTCCATATGAGTATACTCCAGAAAATTAACAGATCATTATAAACCTGAAAATAAGAAAATTAGTTGATGTCTCTGCTAAACTTGTTTCTCGTCAAAGGAAATACAAAGTGCAATATAGAAATTTGTGGATATTCAGGGGAAGGTACTTACACTCAAGAGATGGATCCCGTGTTCTTAGAAATGAGATCTCAACCTTAACACATTTCCAGACTCTTGTACAAGTTATCATACCTTAATAGCTTGTCGTCTTGTTCTATAATTATTTTATTTGAGAAGCTTTTTGAGTGTAGTCTGCAAAAAAACTGCAAACCAAAAAATGTGAGAGTGTACTAATCTAACACAAGACCTTCAAGAACTCATCAGAGAACCTATAGTCCTGCAAGAAAACATACCTTTTGTGGTCAAATTCTTGGAGTCCTGAAGCTTGAAATAAAAACTAGGATGATCTAGTGAGAGTTGTGATGATTTTAGCATTAAGCTCGTCCCATTCTTCTTGTTTCAGCATCAAGCGTGTCAGTGTCAGTGTCACCAGTACCCTATGCTTGAGAAAAAATCCAACCATCAACAAGCTTCATAACACATAATGACTATCTAAAAATAATCTTGAATCATTTTCAAAGAACATGAACAGCAAAATTAGTGGAGAACCAGAGCTAGAACTATAGTCACTTGACCGAGTAACCGAAGCTCCCAAATCCAAGAGTAACTGCACCGTCTCTATGTGTCCGTTCAAAGCCGCCACATGAAGAGGTGTGATTCCTCCATCTGCTGCTCTGTTGATCACTTCGTGAAGAACACTACACAACACATTCAAACTAATCATCAAGTGACTATAAAGCTTTACCATAACTCTTTACAAAAAAAAAACACGTTTTACCTTGAATCCCTTGAACACCAGCGGGCCAGGTTTCTCACATGGAATAGCCAAGTCGTCAGTAACTCTGGACCAATGGGAAAGAGCAAGAATTTGTTGTAAGAAAAATCGACTATACCAAGAGACAAATAGTAGCAGACAGACCTGCAAGTTGAATCTTGGGTGACACTACATATGCATCCAAGTCCACCTGAGATAGGAAAAAGAAAGAATGAAAATTAATAGCTTTCCAAGAATTGAGAAGCATTTCCGATTTTGATGAAACAAAACAAACAAAAAAGAACCAGAAGCAAACACAGCTTTACACCGTCCATCACTACAGTTCCCACAAATAATATTGACCTGAACAAAACATAGAAACCCTACTCAAAAAACAAGAACCACGAAAAATCTCCAAAAGTAAAACTCTTGTGTAGATGATATCTAACCTGTGATGTACGTCCAAGTTTGTCATAACTCTGTTCACAATTTGACAGGTCGCCATGGTAAAACCCCTATATGTATATACTAACAGATGAATCCATGTTCCGAGGATAATACTGGTCTACGCAATGCAAGAATTGGTTATGATGTTCCGAAACTAACTATGATGCCTAATCCAAAACAGGAGAGCAAAGAAGAGAAGGCTCTCACTTGAACGAAATCGAAATTTCCAGAACTAGAAACAAAGTAGCTTAACGGGTGAAACCGTCCGAAATCAACATATCCCTGCACACAACAAACACACATATTTTTGGAAACTAGAGTTTTCAAAGCTTTTGAATTTGATGATATAGAAGTTCACCGTCTGCCCTCTTGTTTCCACATCCTTGCAGAATCTAACCACCAAATCAAATTCCTACACCAATAAAGACCAAACCTAATCAAACCTAAAGTCCTTAAAACAACCTCTCAACATTATAGAATGAGAACATATACACAACCTTGCCATCATATTCAAAAGAAAAGCCGATCCAGCTGCTCTGATCAAACCAAGTTAAAGGAAGCAGCTTTACAAGCCACTAAATCAAACCAGTGCAACAAAGCAAACTTTCTTACTATTCTCATACCAATAATTGATCCTAAGCAGAATCTTAAAGCAACAACAATAATAGAAAGAGGATACAAAATCGACAAGACGACTTGAATTGTCAAGAGCGTAGCAATTAAAATCAGGGACAGGTACAGATGTAGCACCAATTACAAAAGCTGCAGCATTTGCCAAGAAGATAAATTTTCAAAAGTGTAGAACAGTAGTGCCATTTAAGTAATCTGATCTGTGAATCTAAAATCCGAACAATCAAGAAACACAATCATTATCCCAACCCCTGACATATTTTTAAATCACAATCAGTCAGAAATCAAAATATAAAGTTGATCAATCCTTACATTAGCACCAAAAAGAACAGAAACAAAAGAACCTCCCAAGGACCATGTTGACAAGCTTGCATAAAAGCTGTCTGTTTCCAAAAATTCATGTATTCAGATTACTTTTAAATCAATCAATAATGTAAAGAACAAAAAGACACTTAATCACAACATACCTGTCCACGGTAGTTCCGGAGATTAACAGAGAAACTATCTGAAGATAAACAAAACCCAAATATGGATCATCACCAATCATCACAATCATCTTAAAAGCCAGAAATTGAGAATCAATATTAAGACCACGGAAAGAAGAAAAAAAAATTGAGAATCAATACGATCATACAAGTGATCGATCAAACACAGATATAAACAAAGGAAATAATCTGATACAACAAAAGAGTCACAAAGATCCTATGGTTCAGGTTTACGAATAGGTTAGAATTAGGAAGATGTAAGTAACTTACAGACACGGCAGGCTTAAATTACTTGAAGATTTGGCTTCAATTCCTTAATGCGTTTCGAGTTCCACAAAAAAAAAATTAAGACCACGGAAAGAAGAAGAAAAAACTGAGAATCGATATGAGATAATCAACAGTTCATGTCAAACCTTGAATTGGAAAACAAACGTTTGTTTGAATTTTAACAAGTGATCGATCTTCATCATCATCTTCTAGATCGATCGTTCTCGAGAGAAGCACAAAAATCAAGAAAGCCTTAGTTTGAATTTTGAAAACAAAATCGAACCGTTGGGTCTTAAGGGCAGAGAAGAGAGTTCTTATAGTTGAGGATTCTCTCTGACTCTGAGTCGGTGCCTCGGTGGTGATTTCTGGGGTTTGGAGAGCAAACGGTCACAATATCTATTTCGTAATTGAAAGCTCAAAGATCCTTTTTTGGATTTAAAACACGTTTGACGTCCAAACCAAGGCTTACGATATGTGACCGTTAGAAAACCAAACCGATCTCCAATTAAACCAAACCGATCTTCAAACGCATTTAAACCAAACCAACTTACCATCTAAATTCTAAGCGAGGTTTACGATTTATGACCGTTTTAGTTAGGTCCGGGCATAATACCCGAACCCGAAGACCCGACCCGAACCCGAATCCGAAGTTTTAAAATATTCGTACGAGTTCTAAACTTCACAATCCGAAAACCCGAACCCGAACAAGTACCCGGACATACCCGAAATATAAATACATAGTTCTAATATAATAGTAATATTTATACTTGTAATAACATAAGCACCTAAATTATTCGGATGTTAAGATATTTTCGGGTGTTTTAGCTACTTTTGGCTAGATTCGGGTAAAAAATACTTGGGTTATAGATTTTTTGAGTATTTTTCAATACTTTGCATAGAATCGGATACAAATTGATACAAATTTTTTAATATTTGGATACTTCGGGTAAACTCGAATCCGAACCCGAAATACCCGATCCGAACCCGAAGTTTTAAAATACCCGAACGGATCTTAGTTTTCTAAACCCGAATCCGAAAAACTCGACCCGAACCCGATCCGAATATCCGAACGTCCAGGCCTAGTATTAGTAGTGAAGTTCTTCAATTGAACAAAACCATTCTTCAATTAAACCAAAACCAAATACAATAACTGATTCTTTTGGTTCAATATATTCCTTTTGATTTGCTTTTAAACCGAATCCACCAAAACTAAAACCATGTAATTATTTATTTTTTTGGAAAAAATGTTATTTAACTAATTTAATTGCTACTTTATCATTTTATATATATATATATATATATTGCAAAATAAAAAAATTCAGTGATCGCTAATTTTTTTAATTATACATTTGCATAACCCCTCCTAGTTAACAAAAAAAAAATTTATACTTATTTTGATTTACATCAATAATTATAGTGTACTAGATATGGACCCGTACGTTGCACGGGTTACCGGTCAAAATTGTCATTTTTAATTTTTATTTTTGTAAACTTAACTAAAATTATATAAAAATATGTTTTAATTTTTAAAAATGTAGTATTTTAATTAATTTTTAAATATAGATTAATTATGCATAATGTGTAATATAAAAATA